CCCCAAAACCCCAAAACCCCAAAACCCCAAAACCCCAACGGTCAAAATGAATCTTATTGGTTGAGTGATATGATAAATGTATAATTCATTACACAAATAAATAATTTCAGTTTGAAACAAAATCTTAATATTAAATCTAATTAATGGGAGGAGCTTGTTGTGCAGGTACAAGAGACAAAATTAACTATGGCAAGGACCGTGGATCTGAAATGTGCGGTATTGTCCAGCAAAACATGAAAACACGAATGGTCAATGCGAGAATGGGGATTTAAAGCGCTAAAAAGAAGGTGAAGGAAAAGTTCAACGTGGCAAAGCTGAAGGCCAGGGGCTATACTCAGTTATATTGTGACGTACTTGATGAGAGTGAATTTGAATTCCTTACTAAGTTTGAGCAGGAAAACTTCCAGATGTGCAAGGTCACCCTTGATTCCTTTGAAAAAGCACTTAAAGAGTTTGTTGAGAAGGAAGAAACTAAATTCATATCAAAAGATCAAATCGTTGAAAGCTTTAAGACCCGAAAATACCTTTTAGAAGTAGAAAACGAATACTCATTATCCTACGGAATGCTGACACACCCGATATTCTAAAAGGAACCTGATCTCATCTACATTCCTTATCTCTAGCTAGTTGCAATATTATACAGTGCATCTACTTTTAAAATGAAGGCAGTGTCCTTCTATCAGATGGTAAAGGTTGAAAATACTAACAGAATCCCTAAAGATGACCCTTTTCTGGTAGAATATTTAAGAAAGCTGCTAGAGATATCATATATAATGGCACTTTCACTTTATAATGAATTCAATGAGGATGAATAAAATCACAAAGATACCAGAGAGTTTGATTTTATGGTTGAGGATTAAGACTTGATATTTAAGCATATCTACTCTGAATTCATTGAAGGCCTTTTTGGCAGAGATTTAAAATTAGCAGAAGAAGTATTTGTCCATAGATTTGAAAGAGAGGAATAAAAGAATTACTTGTAACCTTGGGAACTTAGAAAGATTATCAATAAACACAGATTAGACATTGAAGCTCAAAAGAGAGATAAAATTAATGCTAACTAGTGAAGATATTGATTAACTCATACAATCAAGTGATTCAATGAATCAGTTGTTCCTTATATCATTCACAAAGCCTTGAAATTATAGCTTTATTCGATATTTTACGATAAATAAACTTAGTTAAGATAAAATTTATTCACTTAATTTACTCTTTTTACTCAAATCTTACTAACGTGGGGTTTTGGGGTTTTGGGGTTTTGGGGAGATCGGAAGAGCACAC